AAGCTTGGACAGTGGCAGTGAGGTCCCCAGGACGTAGGTTTGTTTAGAGTGACCTTCTCTTAGATGGATTGCCTCACAGGGCTAACGAGCTCCATCTGCCCGGGGGGCTGGGAATCGACCCAGGTCACAGCGGTGAGAGTCCTGCACCCTAACCACTAGACCACCAGAGGCCCCAAGTGTGACAGGAGTACAGCAAGAATAACAGATAAACTTGCTCATATAGCCTATTCAGTGGCCCACAGGAAAAGGTTATGACTGCAGCTATGTGGCAGGATTGGTTTGCCCCAATTTTTTCTTGTTCATATAATTTCCAGTTATTTGTCTATTCTCATTTCTTTGGAATGGGATGAAAGCAATGGAAAGCTTTAATGAAGTCACTCAATTGTTAAAATCTTGCTGTATCTGAAAATATAGCTAATGCTGAAAAAGGAAAATTGAAAAACTTCAAATATGATTTAATTTTCTTTTGATAGTCCATATACATTTAGGATTTGTAAATTCACACATGTTTTTAATTAATCAGGAAAGGGCTTTCATTTTGTCAGAAACTAAGGAGTAAATGATTGATGCTTGCTAACAATGTATAGATCAAATTCTTAAATCATCATATTGTTAGGAGAGGTTTTCAGCTCTGTCAGTATAAGACAGCAGAAGACAAGTATAATTGCATACCTTAAACTGTGGGGACCATTTGTAAACTTGCAAATTGGCTTTATTCAGATGCCTAAACACTGTCATTTTGAGTATGTCCTTGTCAATTTTTATATGTTTCTAGTTTGGGTAGAAGTCTGTGCTTGTAAACATGCAGATGAAAGAATTGTCAAAGAACAAAAAGTTGAAAAACAGTTGCTAAGAGAAAAAATTTCTGGGTTTAGTAGTCCCTAACACTAGTTAGGGAGACCCACTTAATGGGATAATAGTGCAGAAATTGTGTGCAGCCCTACAAATAGAAGGAAATTGTTATTTTGCCCATCACCGCCAATTCAATGGGGTTGTAGAGAGGAAAGACTTGCTTTCTTTGTTTCAGAAGCTTGTTTCTAGCTATCCTTGTGCACAGAGCACATCCTTTTCACCTGGATGATGGGGCTGAGTTTAGCTCTGCATCCCAGTAGTACTCTGGGGAGAGCAGGCGCGTGGGCTTGTGGTACAGGAGATACTTGTTGAGATGACTCTCATCATGCCACCTAGCTTCAATGCCATTTTCTCTGTCTTCCATGATCCCTTTAAAACAGTCTCTTGTCAGTTTGTATATCTCGGACACGCTTCCCCCATAGAAGCTTGATGTATAGTAGAAGTCCCCTTCTCCCTTAGGGATTGCAGCTTATGGCTCAGGGCGCGTCTCATAGGCTTTGTTCTCATGATGTGTGGTGAACTGCCAAGAGCTGAGGGTTCCCACCAGTGTATCAATGATCTCCACACCAATGTGTGCCAGTAGCTGGACATCAATATCTATGGAGTAGAGATAGTCAACCTCATACTGGAATTGGCTGTGGATATATGTATTGACGATATCCTTACAACTTGTGGAGACGTCCTGCCACCTTGAGTGATTGTGGACAGGGATGACAAACAGGTGATTCTCAGGGGCCATCTGAGGGTGAGAGATCTTCTCAGGATTGTCTGTAAACAAGTAGAAATTCACCTGGTGCCCAGCAAGGAAGTACTTGTTGGCAGATCTTATGAACCCTTCTATGAACTGGACATATCTGAGAGATATGAAAAGGAAAAGAATGAAGACAGGTTCCTCCTGCTGAAGAATGACAACTTTTCAAGTTCATTTTGTTTATCTTTTTCTATAAACTGTTCCCTTCTTATGTCAGTGCTCTTTGTTTAACATAGCTACTACCCTCCAACCCTTCCTTACACTCCTGCACATTATACCATTTTTTAGCTTCCACTGTACTGTTCTTTCATACTGTCATGGATGTACAGAATACATGCCTTCTACCCCATGCCGCTCTATAAATACTTCTCCTCATCCTTCCTTTTTACATGCTCCCTGGCACTTTTCTGTAGTGTAATATTTTCACTTACTAGAGAGGATCACAGAATCAACAGAGGTTTGAGTTGGAAGGGACTCTAAAGACCATCTCGTTTGACCCCTGCCAGGGCAAGTACATCTCTCACTATCCCAGATTGCTCCAAGCCCCGTCCAACCTGGCCTCAAATAGTTCCAGGGATGGGGCAGTCACAGGTTCCCTGGGCAACCTGTGCCAGGGCCTCATCATCCTCGCAGGGAAGAATTTCTTCCTAACATCTAATCTAAATCTGCACTCTCAGTTTAAAGCCATTCCCTCTTGTCCTATCACTACCTACCTTTGTAAAAAATCCTTCTCCAACTTTCTTGTAGGCCCTCTTTACGTATGGAAAGGGGCTCTAAGGTCTTCCTGGAGTCTTGTCTGCTCCAGGCTGAACAACCCCAACTCTCTCAGCCTGTTTTTGCAGGAGAGGGTCAAAGTTATCAATTAAATAGTTTTGATTACCCTGAAATAACTGAAGTCTCTGTGTAAATCTAGGATGCTAGTGGAGATGGAGTATAGTTCTTTACTCAGAAACTCAAAGGGAACCAATCCCAGAACTTACAAGCTATAATATCATGATTAATAATTTTACTAGAGCTAATATTTTTAATTTAAACTCTTATAGAAACCCAAAACCCTCCTCAACTTTGCTGAATTTTTCTATTTTTTACCACAGGTTAGAGGGAAATCTTGTTGTTAGAAACATAGCAGGAGCTGGAATTTTTATCACAAGGGATCAAAATTCGAATTATATTTCCAAGGATAGTTTTTGCCTTTTTCAAGGCAATGTCACAGCCAGTTGCCCTGCTTTGGAAGGTGACACTCACATATCATATTTCTCCCACTGAGATTTTCTCTCACAGTCAAAAGCTGCTTATACTCAGTCTTTGGAATGTGTCTCACTTCTGCTCCATAAGCAGTATTGCAGCATAGCTGGCAGGTGATAAATTTAACTATTTGACAAGAAATAAATGACAAACCAGTACTTTCTAACAGCAAAAGTGACCACTCCAGTGACCAGGTTCTTCTGCATATACTGAGCATTCAGGATGTCTCTACTGAATGTGCTTTCCCAGACAACTGGAGCCAACCATGGTGTCAACACCAGTACATCCCACCTCCTGCAAGGAGTTTGAGAATGAAGGTAGTGTTTAGATGGCCAAGGAAATTCATGAAGACAAACATAAGCTTCTTCAGCACAGATGCCTGCCTCTGAGTTAATCATCCAAGACTCCATTTGAAATCAGTAGGAGTTATCTTATCCTGGAGCAGACATCTAAAATAGGTGTTGGTCCTTGATTTTTACCCACAAGCTCTCAACCTGTTTATGTTTGTTACTCAGAGGCAGCTCTTCACAATCCATCCACTCCTTAGCATAGAGCACAACACACTCGTCCATCATTCCCAGCCTATCTCTCCTGGAAACCTTGTAGCCCTCAGCTGCAGTGTTCCAGATGTGCAACTCTCCACCATGTTTCTGTGGTAGCAATTATTTAATAGTTTTGTGATTGCACCATGGTTCTTCACTCCTCCTGCTTGTTACCCATGCTATATGCATTGCTGTGGAGACACTTCATCTGGGCTGTCCATCTCTTCATCTTTTGGAAAGAGGTCTCTCTAATTCCTTTGGCATGATGCACAGATATTTCCCTGCTCCTTCCTAGAGTGTTGTTTCCTGGTTTATCTCTGACACTCAGAAGAACATCCCCTTCCCACGCTGAATGTATTTTAAAGCTCTCCTAGTAAGTCCAGCCAAACTGCTTCTCAGAACAGATAAGAGAGCCTTCTCTCTGTGCTGAACGGTCATAGCTTTCTCAGCCTTACCTCATAGGAGACATGCTCCAGTCCCTTCATCACCCTTGTGGCCCTTTGTCAAACTGTCTCCAGTGTGTCCATATCTCTTCTACTATTTTCTAGAGCCAATGGCTCTAGAATAGATAATTGCAGAAGATAATTTATCCCAGTGACCTAGAATGTCCCATCTACAGACACACATCATCTACAATGCTGATTGTTACCACTAAAGATAGTATCAGCCAACACCTCTTCTTTTTCTAACTTCTGAGATGAATGGTGACAAGGGATGGGAAAAAGGAATTAAGGTATAATTAAACCAAAAGATTTTCAACATTAGCTATAATTTGTATTTCCTTTCTGAAGGCAAACAAATTAAATATTCTGCATCTGTGTACTTTTTAATGGTTTCTGGAAGAGTACCTTTTCTTAATAATAATAATTATAATAATGGCCAGTCTTCGCGAGCGAAGATTTGGGAAAGGTCATTAACCCTTCGAGCCTGCGCA